AAGTTAATAGGGAAACTGTTAAAAAAGGGAAAACACATAAAAATAATCTTTTTGACAAAATTGGAGAAAAATAAGTCCTTTCGATTCAGATCCTTCAATTGGCCTTTTAGCCTCTTTCCATGCAAGCTTGGCTTGCATCCTTCAAATGGGAGTTGGCCTCTGGCACATTGGCTTGGATTCACAAGGAAGAAGCTTCCTGCATGCCACCTTCGATTGCACCTTTGGCCTCATAGGGTTTACAATGCAATGGTTGCCTACGTGCCTACTTCGATTGGATGTTTGATGCGTGCATGCCTGTGTTGACTGTAAAAATATTCCCCCATACTTTCTTTAATTCACAAGTTGATGACTAGCTGTATACAAGCCTTCGTTTGATCCACAACTTATTTCTTGCATGCAAGAGGCTTCCCCCCATGCTAGCATGCATTAGGCACAAAGCCTCTTGTAGTCTCCTTCGATAACAAGGCAAAAAGCCTCCTTTTGGCATCCTTCAATTTCACATTTTTTCCAGCCTAGCATGCCTCTTTCGTTTGGGCATGTGATTCCCTTCATGCAAGTCTTTGTTTGAGAATCGGCCTCTTGTGTTCTTGCTTGGAGTCACAAAGTTTAGACCTCCTGCATGCAGGCTTCGATAGGACATTGGCTATGTTTGGACTAACTTCGACTGGACAACATTTCTCTTTAGTATGCTACAATACCATCCTTGACAAACTTCTGCACACATGGTTGATAGCCCCCTTCAAAATACATACAGTGGTGGACTTGAAGGGCATACATATGAGTCCCTCTCGAATGATATACCATACTAGTCCATTCGAAGGACACGTTTGGCCCTTTTCAAAGAAACATACATGACCCATTCAAGGGGCTTGTTTGGGTGTCCCATTCGAAGGACATGCTTGATGGCCCATTCGAAGGATTTACAAATCCCACCTTAAGGCATGTTTTGGTAACCCATCCAAGGGTCACACGTTTGGCTCCTCCGAAGGATGCACAAAAGTGACTCATTCGAAGGACACTTGTTGGAGGAAAATCAAATAATATTGTTGGGAGAAGAATCTGGTCGAAGGAGGTTCAAAATGAAAGGATGATATTCAAAGATGCATGCTGCCAAGTTCAGGCCTAGTACACTGGCCAAAACTGCTGCACAGCAGTCCTGAAACACTGCCCCATTCTTGCACCAAAATAGCATACAAACAATGTCCCTCGAAAGCTACAAAGAGTAGTTTACTCAAATTGTTCAAATTATTTTGTTTTCCCTCCAAAAGCTTCAACCAGCTTTGCCTATAAATAAGAGGCTCCACAACATGTTTAGGGGGACTTTTAGGGGCTAGAGGAACAAATATTCAAAATTCTCAAACACTCTAAAAAAATCATCAAACTCTCAAGCACTTAAACACTCATCAAACACAAACCCAAAATCCAAACATTTGTCCCCTTCGAATCTGAAACATCCCCACACCTTGTTATCCTTCGAATCCTGTAGAAATCACATCACACTTGTTCTTCTCCTTCGAATCCATCCTTAGGGACGTCACCTTCGTTTCCTCCCTTTGAATCCAGAAGCACTCAAGGCAGCCACTCAAGATCTAGCACACGCTCCAGCTTGAAGCAAGGTAAGTCCCTCTTGCCCTTGAACCCTTCGTTTCAGGTATGATATATGAATAAACTTTCTTTTTGTTTCAAACATGTACATACCATTGTTCATCTTTTCGTTTCTACCCTTTTAATTTGTTTTCATGGCTAATCCTTTTGGGTTCTGTTTATTGGTTTATTAAATATGTTTTAAAAAACTCACCCGGCCCTAAGGGGATGCTAGCATGGCCTTAGGCCATGTTGCTATTTAAGACTCAAATGAAAGAAACAGGAGACAGGAATATGAAACGAAGCCTTAGGCTTCCTCACTGACTCCAAGTCCAATCGAAGGATGCAGCAAAGGACTTAAGGTGAAGAGGACACTCCATGCTGAATGAAAGAGTCAGCCAGAAGGATGGCCATACTGACTCCCATGCCCCAGTCAAAAGGCACACCATATTGACTCCCAGGCCCCAGTCGAAAGGCACACCACACTGGCCTCCAGGCCCCAATCAAAAGTCACACCTTCACCCCATTAAGGCTAAATCGAAGAGAGCCAGAAAGTGCAGATTCGAAGGATGTTTCTGCCTAAATCGAAAGACCCCTTTTTCTTGCTTTTATTTTATTTTGCTTTTATTTTTTTCATGCTATTCAATATGGTTGTAATAGTGTAGGATTTTATCTTTCTTCATTTTATTACTTTTGTATGATTTCTAGTAAAATAGGGTATGTATGGCAAGATAAAAACAATAAGTAGACAATCCATAATCAAAGACTAAATGCATGTAAATCAAATACACTATTCACACATGCACCCGTAGGGTAATCTCACTTTTTGCCTCGGTAAAATAGTCATGTCCCTTGAATATGGGCATTTTAGCAAAGATCCTCGATAAAAGATCGTAGTCCCTCGATGACCCTCAACGTTGCCTTCGGTAAACGATCTAGTCCTTAAACAATATTGCTAAAACGTCTCATAGGTTGCCTTCTATGACTATACAAACGTCCCACACCCGTCCCTTCACATCCAATGATGGGACTTCTTACCAAATCAATGGTAAGATAGTAACATCTAAAGGAGGAGGAAAAGAACATTAAGACCTTTTGAGTAGGTAGGATGCTCTTAGTTGCTCGCTGGTTCACCATAAAAAACATTTTATACACCCACACTTCCATTTGAAACAAAAACATTTTGTACGCGTTCTTATAGAAATGAGAACCACTAAAAAGTCACTTTTTCAAAATCACTTTCAAAAACACATTCCACAAACACCTCTTTGAACTACTTTTAAAACTAACACTTTTTACGCGTTCTTATAGAAACGAGAACCATTACAAAGACGTTTTCAAAATACTTTTGAAACCCACACCACAAGCACATTTTAAAACAAAAGCAAGTAATCTAGCAAGCAATTAAGAGCCCATAGATAACTACGGATGGAAAGGGTGCTAATACCTTCCCTTTTCATAACCTACCCCCCGAACTCAAGAAATAATCTCGAAAGGTCTTTCCTGTTCTTTTCAACCTTTTCTTTTGGATAAAAGAAAAGTCGGTGGCGACTCTTCCTATCCGCAACAATTGCGATCAAACGGAAAACACACAAGTCAGTTCTCCCACCGTGTTACACTATGGTAAGGTGAAGAATGTGTATGCTCTATACAAACTACTGTTCAAGATTCTAATCAGTATCTTGATCCCTAAAGAGGGTAATACATATAAGATATCTTGGGATCACATACACTTTTTATTGTTATTGATTAATAAGAGAAGATAAATATGTTTGTATATATCTTCGATCACATATGTGAAGCTATCAAAGAAACAATTAAGAATAATAAGAAAAATGTGCCTTATGTAAGGCTTCTCTCTGAGTTGTTCCATCAGAGCAGGATGATTCAATTTCTGAAGAAAAAAAATTCTTCTGATGTCTTGGAAGAATACCATGGAAACTTATTTTGTGGAGCCATTATAGGCAATATGAACATCATCAGCAAGAAGGCCATTGTGAAGCCTCCCACCCCCTCCAAGTTAGTTATGCCAGTTCTACATTTCTTGATGACTTTTCATACATCACTCAGAAGGTCAATTCAGAAGTGGTTATGGAGTATATCAAGAAGAACAGAAAGGAAACTTATGTAACTCTGAAAGTTATTCCAAATGAAGTTAAGGGTGTGTGTCAATCTTCAAGAAAGAGAAAGCAAGTTGCCCCTAAAGATCTCAAGAAGGGTCAAAATCCACCAAAGCAGAAAGTTGTGGCATTATATTATGTTCAGAAGGATGTAAAGGAAGTTGTATCCTCTCCCGTCTTGATTCCTACTAAGATAAGAAGTGGAGCAACACCCCAAAAGGTTGTTACTTATTTTGTTAGAGTTTTTCCTATGAAGAAGAAATAGTTAAGGAAACTGATTTTTCTTGAAGAAGAAGAGGAAGAGGTTCAGCCTCTGGAAAAGAAGGTCAATAGATGAAGCAAAAGGCTCAAGATATGCTGATAGAGTCTGTGAAAAAGGAAGTGGAAATGCTGATATCTTCCCTTAAGAACATGGATGCTGCAAAACACTTAGATATTGAGATTCTGAATCAACAAATCAAATATGTTGAAGCTACATCTGAAGCTATTTTGAAGACACCATATGGATCTTATGGTTTTCAACCAACTGCTTCAGATGTTGACGAGAATTAAGAAACTGTTGCAGAAACTACTTTTGAACAAGTTGTTGAAACTATTTCAGAACCTACTGCTGTCACATGTATGTCTATGTATCATGTCTCTGACAACATTCTATATTTTCCTACTCCCCTTAACCATATATCACATACCCCTAGACATTTAGGTGTTTATTTTATCTATAAACCTGAGCTACCCACACCTCAGAACACCATGACTAATCCTCATCAGATCATAGAATCTATCCCAGAAAATCTTGACAATTGTTAACAACACACCATTTCTTTAACCAGCCAAAAATCAACCTCATAATGTAGCTCTAATTATTCACAATCAAAGATTTTTCCTATTCACGCCAAACCTCTCCAAGCCATTCCTTCAGAAACTGAACCTCAACCTAATCTTGTCCAATCTCAATCAAGAGTCTAAACCTTATTTGAACTTCAGACCGAAGGTGAGCAAGACACTCAAGCCCACATCCTGTCAGAAATCATCCAAGACTAGTTTTCTTAAACTCATCCTGAAATTAAAATTGAACAAACTAACCTAGATAAGCTAATCCTGCACCTGGGCCGCAACCCAAACCTCATCATAACCCTTCTTTAGAAAAACTGTGTCTGAAACTAACACAATACTAATTCCTTTCTTTGAAGAAATAGCCTCACTAACCCTTCACCTCCTCCAGAATATGTCCCTTCAAGCCTTCCTTTCCTTATCTATAACCATGTTGAAGAATATAAAAATATTCTCTTTGATAGAATGTCGGAATTGGTTGTTACGAGACTCACAACTTCTGACTATGTGGTTTATGCTCCTAAGTGGGATTCTCTCACAACCTTTATGGTCTCAATTCTGCAGAATTTGAAAAATATCTCTTATGAATTTGTAGCATCATCTAGTCAAAGGCAAGAGCAATTAGAAGTTAAATTGGCTTATGTTGTTGGTAATCAAGAAGTCATGGCTACTAAGCAAGATGTGATGAAATATCAGCTGGAGATTGTGATTACAAGAAAAGATGTAATGAGTTATAAATTGGAATCTATTATGGAGATTCTGAAGCAAAACTCTAGGCCTTAGGATTTTAGCAAATCCTTTATTTTGTCTTATTAATTGTTTTGAACATGCTTTTCTTGCACACAAAAATTGGTTAGTGAAATATTTTTCTTCAGTATCTTTTCCTTCTTCTGTTTATTTCTTTTTGTTGATGACAAAAGGGGGAGTAGAAGGATAAGTATTTAAGAATCTGAATATGATTAATTGATATTGTTTATGTTTAAATTCTGAAGAATTTGTTATTATGCTTCAAGGATAAATTTAATTAACCTGGCTAGGACTTAGGGGGAACTTACATAACTCAATCTTAAGACTATCAGACTGAGGGGAAGCTTACAAACCTAACCCTTAAAAGTATCATACTCAAGGGGAGTTTACAAACCTCAAACCCTGAAGTCAACATGTTAATTAAACCAACAACCATTATTCTTAAATACTTGAGTTTGTCATCATAAAAAAGGGGAGATCATTGGAACAAAATTGGTTTATACCATAACCCTTAAGATTTTATGATAACAAAGTATTTAAAGAACAATTGGATAGGCTAATGTGTGTTGAAGTGTGTAGGTACAAAGATTATATACTGATTGAAAGTCAATTCTGATAATGCACTGAACAATCAAAGAGAAGCTCTAAAGATGTAGATTTTGAAGGTGAGACTCTGAAGAATACACTTATGATTAAGCCAACTTTTGATGATCTGAACTTGAATATCCCAGACTCTAATCAAGTGACCCTCTAAAGAATCATAGTCTGAAGGATTAAAATCTAAGACTCTGACTTTGAATACTCTTAACCTAAACCTAGTTAAAGCTCAAGAACCAAGGAATTTATGACAACTCGCTATCATACTCTCAGGTCAATTGGTCTTCTTCTGTTCACATGTTAACTTAGAAAAAAGATGTAAAATCCTGGATTATTACAACTGATAATTCATTTTGTAGCAAAGGAGTTTCAAATGGAATTGCAACGGAATTAACCATTTCATGTAGCTTTGCAACAGATCTGTTGATGCTTCTCTTAAATACTCACTTGTGCAAGATGTCTTCTCCAATTACTCTTTAATGGTTCTCTATGTAAGGAGATGAAGACTAGGAGAAACACACAACACTGCACCTTGACAAGAAACCAGAAATTACTCTGTCAAAACAAAGAGCATAATTCTTACCAATTGTACATTCTTAGAAGTTCTCAAGTCTTATAGTTTTCTGTGTATTCTGTTTACACCTCTGATTATATATCAAATGTAATTATCAAACTATCACTATCATTTATCTGTTAGATATATGGTAGGAAGTCTCTTGTTTCTATGCTTGAGCATTTGGTAGTATCTTGCTTGTATGCTTGATTATTCGGTAGTCTCTTTCTTGTGTGCTTGAGCACTTAAGTCTCTTACCTGTGTGTATGAGCAATTAGAAGTTTCTTGCTTGTGTGCTTGAGCATATGAAATATCTTTCATGTGTGATTGAGTATTGAAGTTCTTTACTTGTGTGTTTGGGCATTGGATGTCTCTTGCTTGTGTGCTTGAGCAATTTTTAATTAGATTTGGTTATAGTGGAAATCTATTGGAAGTGCAAGGTGATTTAACTACTCCTAATTTGTAGGACGAACCGAGATAATTGCTTGTGTATTTTCTTGATCTCTTCTTTATTTCTGATCAACTTTATTCTGTTGATAATCATCAGACTCTGACTCAAATTTTATCTTTGTGATCATAATATGATAAGAGATTTGTAAGATTAAAAGAAGAAAAAGTTAACACAATCCAACCCTCTTCTTGTGTTTTTCTCACCTTCAGATAATATGGTCATATTTCCTTTTAGAGCGGAAAGGATCTTCCTATGGAAGTCTAGCGTATTCTTATAGCTTATGGCAAGAAGCCAAGTGGGGTGGGGGGAGCTTCTACTCGGATTAAGTGCTTCAAGTGTGGTGTCAAAGGGCATCATGCTTCTGAATATGGAAAGGATTTCGAGAAGTGTTTCAAGTGTGGTAAGCCATGTCACAAGGCTATTTATTGCAAGGTTGGTTCCAGTGTGACTTGCTACAATTATGGTGAGCAAAGGCACATTACTACCAAGTGTGAAAAGACAAAGAATGAGCAAGCTAGAGGGAAAGTTTTTGCATTTTTTTGGTTCTGAGAAGACTATTGAGGAGAGACTAATTCGAGTTACGTGCTTTATTAATGGTACACCTTTGATTACCATCATTGATACTAGTGCATCACATTCTTTCATTTCTTTTGATCGTGTTAAGAGGTTGAATCTTAAATTGTTTGATATGCATGGAGATATGATTATTGATACTCCTGCTATGTGTTATGTGTCTACTTCGGTTGTGTGTTTGAAATGTCTGTTGAGTATCTTTGGTAGAGAATTTGGGATTGCTTTAGTTTGCCTTTTGTTAGATCAACTTGATGTGATTCTTGGTATGAATTGGTTGGAGTATAATCATGTTTATATAAATTTTTTTGATAAGACAATTATCTTTCTTGATCCTGGTGTTGAGAGGGATTTGTTTTTGTAAGCTAAGAAAGTGGATGAGTCGGTGCAAGGTGGTGTTGTATTGTTTGCTTCATTGGCAACGTTGAATCTCGGTGAGAAGCAAACTATTGGTGAGTTGCCTACTGTCCGCGATTTTCCTAAGGTGTTTCCTGAAGATGTAAGTGATTTGTCACCAGAGCGTGAGGTAGAGTTTACGACTGACTTAATTCCTGGAACTAGTCCTATTTTGATGGCTCCATATCATATTTCAGCTTCTAATTTGAAAGAGTTGAAGAGTCAACTTGAGGATTTACTTGAGAAGAGGTTTATTCGTCCTAGTGTGTCACCGTGGGGTGCACCTGTTTTGTTAGTTGAGAAGAAATAAGGTTCTATGAGGTTGTATGTTGATTATAGACAACTAAACAAGGTGACTATTAAAAACAAGTATCCACTTCCGAGGATTGATGATTTGATGGACCAGTTGGTTGGTGCAAGTGTGTTCAGTAAGATTGATTTGAGGTATGGGTATCATCAGATTCGTGTGAAGGCTGAAGGTATTCAGAAGACTACTTTTAGGACAAGGTATGGTCATTATGAGTATTATGTTATGTTGTCCGGTGTGACCAATGAACCTGGTATATTTATGGAATATATGAACATGGTTTTTCATGAGTATCTGAATAAGTTTATTGTTGTGTTCATTAATGATATTTTGATATATTCTAAGAGTGAAGAGGATCATGTTAAGCATTTGAGGATTATGTTATATGTGTTGAAGGATAAGCAGTTGTACGCTAAGCTTTCTAAGTGTGATTTTTGGTTGAAGGAAGTGAATTTCCTTGGGTATGTGATTTCGAGTTGTGGTATTTCTGTTGATCCGACAAAGATTTAGGTTGTATCTCAATGGGAAGCTCCAAATCTGTTTTTGAGATTAGAAGTTTTCTTGGTTTGGCTGGTTATTATCGCAAGTTCATTGAAGGTTTTTCTAAGTTGGTGTTACCTTTGACGCAGTTGACTAGGAAGGGTCAAGCTTTTATTTGGACTTTGCAGTGTGAAGTTGGTTTTAAAGAGCTTAAGAGAAGGTTGACAACCACTCCTAATTTGATTTTGCATGATCCAGAAAAACCATTTGTGGTGTACTATGATGCTTTATTGATGGGTTTAGGAGGTATGTTGATGCATAATCAGAAAGTTGTGGCTTATGCTTTAAGGAAACTAAAAGTTCATGAGAGGAATTATTCGACACATGATTTAGAGTTAGTTGCAGTTGTGCTTGTTTTGAAACTTTGGAGGCATTATTTATTTAGATCAAGGTTTGATGTTTTTAGTGATCACAAGAGTTTGAAGTATTTGTTTGATAAGAAAAAGTTGAATTTGAGGCAAAAAAGATGGTTGGAATTCTTGAAGGACTATGACTTTAGTTTGAACTACCATCCTGGTAAAGCAAATGTTATAGTTAATGCTTTAAGTAAGAACTTTTTGCATATGTCGATGTTGATGGTTCGAGAATTGGATTTTCTTGAGCAATTTCGAAATTTGAGTTTGGTTTGTGAAGAGACTTCTTTTGGTGTTAAGCTTGGTATGTTGAAGCTTACTAGTGGTATTTTTTATGAGATTCAAGAAGGTCAGAAATTTAATTTGAGTTTAGTTGATCGATTTACGTTGATCAATTAAGGTCGAGGTGGTTATTTTCGGACTGATGAGAATGGTAGCATCATGTGTCGTGATAGAGTCTGTGTTCCGGATGTGGGAGATTTGAAGAAAAGAATTCTTGATGAAGGACATCGTAGTGGTTTGAGTATTCATTTTGGAGCTACTAAGTTGTATCAAGATTTGAGGAAGTTATTTTGGTGGTCTGGTATTGTTGTACCCCAAAATTTGCCCTCCCATATTTCTCCAAAACATTTCAAGAGAAAGTCTCAAGTTGCTCAAGGAAGTCCAAGGGTTGACCAGACAAGCTCCCTCCTAAGGCAATCTACCTCAAATTAGGGTTTCATGTTTCATCAAGGTACTTGAGTCCAAGGGATCCCAAATTCTCACCAATGTCCTAATATATTCTCAAGATCATCCATGTCAAGTTTCAAGCCCTACAGAGAAAGTTTGCTCAGTCAATTGCTCAAAGGCCTGAAAATCGACTATGATAGGGAAAAAGTCAATTGTGGCCCACATACAGTCAAACTTCAATATTTTTGGTCAACATACTAATTTTGAAGTATTATTCATCATTTTATCAAGTGTTGATCATGATTCATCAAGGATTGCTCATAATTTATCAAGACTCAAAAGTTGCTAAATTAGGGTTTTGCAGGAAAAGTCAACTCAACTTTGACCAACCATAACTTTCTCATAATTTATTATAAATGACCCATCCAAAGCTAATTTTTAATAGGTTTAAATTCCCTACAATCCATCTTCATCTCCCAAGTTCAAAATATGCACTCAGAAGAAGTTATGAATTTGGACATTATAGGTCATTTTGAAAAGTCAATAAAAACACATTTTTTGTCAAAGCTTCATACATGAGCATGGAATATCAAATTGAGA